GTAATAGAATCTTAGTTTAGGGTTTATATATTCTTCAACAAAAAGAGTTTAGTATTTTTTTTTTAAAATGTGTCAAGTATTAGAATCTTAGTTTAGGGTATAGATATTATATAACAAAAAAAAAGAGTTTAGTATTTTTTTTTTAAAGAGATTAAACAAAAAAATTGCCAAGTATGAGAAACAAAAAGAGTTTAGTTTTAAAAATAAAAAATTGCAACAAACGTTAGAAAACACGACTGCTCATGGATTGCCAAAATATGCCCAAACACCGGATCTTGCTTCACTTCCTCATACTCATTAGGCAGCCAATCTTTCAATTTCTTCATAAGAGACGTTTTGCAGCTGCTGTTGATCTTCACAACTTCAGGTTCTTCATTTTTCCTAAAAAATCTTTTTGGCAAATCCAAAGCCATACCTACAAAGAATCAAGAGCAATTTCATGAAAATAGAATTATGGTTATTACATCACATGACCAAGTAATATCAACCGTAACAGGATAAGAGAATTATGGTTATTACATCACATGACTAAGTAATATCAACCGTAACATGTTCCATTAGAAGATGAATCGTATAGAGACGAGAGAATTTCATGAAAAGAGTAAAACCCTACAATGCTCTACTTTGTTTCTCCAAAATTTCTCAACTCTTCGGTCAACAAATTCCCTTCTTAACTATGCTACATAAACTAAATGTATCAATTCAAATAGGATTCATGAGCAAATAACTATGTCCCAAGAGACAATCAAAAGGAATGGACTGCAAACCTGCTGAGAAATCGATTCGTGAGCGACCTTGTAGAGAACAGAGAGGCAGCTCTGGCCACTCCGACTAGTCTTCTTTGCCGGAAAAGTATCAACACATCGTCGACCGAGAGAGAGAGAGATAGGCGGAGATCGACGATGGCGTGAGAGAGATCGTCGATGTCGTGAGACAGAGAGAAAGAGATCGTCGATGTCGTGAGAGAGAGAGAGAGATCGTCGATGTCGTGAGAGAGAGAGAGGCGGAGAACGTCATGAGAGAGAGAGAGAGGCGGAGATCATCGTGAGAGTGAGAGAGGCGGAGAAGACAAAGTTTCCCTTATTTCATTTGATATTTAGTTTAATTTCTTTTTTCTTTTTATGTTAAAACAAGGAAACAAATAAAACTGAATATTCAGCTTTTTAAAACAATTACGAAAATATTTTACAAATTTCATTTTTATTAAGATTGAGGGTTAAAATTGGGTTATGAAAATATCAAAGGTTATTGGGACAAAAACATGTGTATAAAGGTTATTGGGACATTCCCAATTTTAAACGGAGTCAATTTAGCAAATTTCCCTTTTTATTATGGCTTAAGGAAAAAACATGTAACAGACATGATTTGAGAATTTGATTATATTAGTCAAATATGGTTTTAATCTACATTGCATGGAAACGTGAAAAAAGTGGCGTTTCTGTTTCGGAAACGTTTCGAAAACGCGATGGAAACGCGTTTTCTAAATATCCCGATTTGGAAATGTTTTGGAAACGCGGGCGGAAACATGTTTCCGAAATTGGAAACGC